AACGTGACGGTTGGTATCTAAAACTCTTTCCACTTAACCCAGTCTCGTTTTTCCAGTTCAATCAAACCCGCCTAAATTCCATTGTTTACATTGGCACGCACCCGCAGATATTATCTAATTTTAAAATAAATCCATGTAATTTGTCCGCAGTCAATTAGACTCGCCTCGTGTTAGTATTTTAGCAAAGTAATTTATTTGATGTGCCCAATATAACTCGAATTAGTTCGGTAATTCATCGACACGATTATCAAAGAAAATTTTCTGCTTTGATTCGCCTCTCTTCAACGTCATTACATAAACAGATTTACGAGCGGGCGTGAAAAGAGAGCTCTAAAAATTTCGATTCGCTCCAGAGTACCCTCTCTAAGATTTTATTTTTTCAACGAGTGTAACGCAAGATAAGATAGATTAGTCTTCGAGGGGACCGCGACATCGAGAATGCGTCAAGCCGGGGTGGCTGCATGAATTATGTTGCTTTTACTCTCTTCTGAAGGAGGTATCAACACTTCGCTCTCCGACTCGACCGTCATTAAAACAATTCCGCTCCAGATTACTCATTAATTAAATTTAACTCGTGATACAAGGAAAGCGGGGAAAAAAGCGCCATGAGACACGATATGAGTATTTGTTACACTTTTCAGGATGCGGACTGACGTCAACAGTCGCCCGGAAACGCTGATCTCCCGCGGGATCTAAGCGTATCGCCCTTCATCTGGCGCCATTGTGGTTTACGTGGGTATTTTTAAATGCTGGGGAGATATTCGGATTGATCCTCGATGGACCAGAGGTCCTACGGGATCTACAAACGCAGGCGATCTCAGTCATATATAATTTTGTCCCATCAGCCACCCGCCACCACGCTCTAATGGCAAACCGTCCCTAATAAGGGATACGCTTACCCGCTCATCCCGACATTAATTAACTCATACAGGAAGTCGACGTTCTCTTTAATTAGGCCCCGAATCCGCTTCGGGCCTCATCGAGTCCCGACATTTTGGCATACCTTTGAAAAATTGCTTTTAAATTTAGACCATGAACAGAGCAAGAATCATCTCTTCCACAGTTCCCCGGCCAATACAAAAACATTCCTGAAATGGGTTTAACACTGCCCATTAAAAACACTCAACATAAAGCAGGGTGTGCACCCTGGAGTGGTTTTCAACTCAAAAACCATTATATCACGTCTGTGCATGTCATTATTCTCTTCTCCAAACAACGGTCGTCCCGTCCTACGATAATAAAATCGACGTTTCCGAGTACGGCTGAATGAAGGACCCATGTCAACGTGAAATATGGCAGAAGGTGCGCCATTTTGGTACCATCGAGGTGCACGTTGTGATTGGGACAGGTGTGCGAGATACCAGCATGCATTGGCCAGGTGAGATTGAAGACCCATGTGGGCGGGGCCGATTAAACTGGCCACCATTTGGGAAAGAAGTCGGAGAAGATCAAAAAGGGACCGATTTGCGTAATAAAAGTTTCCGTGAGAAAAAAAAAAGGTGGAGGGTTTGAATTCTAGAAGGAAAGGTTTTATTACCTTGGAGAAATTAGTCATCGCAGGGATGGCTATTACGTGCTGGGTACAGTTTGTCTTAGCCAACCAAGTATTCAATTTTTTTGGAAAAATGTTGAATTAAAATTTGTTTTAAGTTTCTCTACACAATTCTACTTATGAGTGTGTCGTAATTTTTTGAAAATTTTTAAATTCGAGGTTTCCACTTTGAACCGAAGATGACATTACAGTTCTCATTGGACGTTTGAATTAACGATTAACTTTTATTTACATATATTCGGTCGATAATTTTTTTCTGTGAATCTACTTTTACGAGTAATTTTATGGACAAGAATTATTATTTTATGACATCCGGTATAAACATAGAAATCGTCATTTATTTCTTTGAACTCTAGTAACTAAAATAATTGCGACTCATTTCTGGGTTGCCTGTTTTTTTTTTTATTTTGTTACATAAAGTGACATTTTATTCGCCACTTGAGTTTTCTGTCTTCAATAACCCACTAGTGCGATAAAGTTACGATAAAAAATACTTAGTTATTCTCAGTTTCATAATGTTCTATTTATTTTTGTAAAATATATATTTTTAAAATTAATTTAAATTTCTAGCACGTCACGATTCAAAATAAATAGAATGTCAAAGTATTTAGCCAAATCCACAAAAGTCAAAAAATATATCTGCTTACTGTCACTTATTTGCACTTAAAAATCCTTTTAGCTGGAAATATTTATGATTTCGAGAAATTTTCAGAAAATACAAAACCAAAATCCTTTTTTGGCTTGAAGGGGAGACTTAATCTAGTATCCTAAAAACACTTTTTTAACGAATTTTGATGGACTATTAAATTACGACGACAATGATATAAAAAACTTATATGTGTTGATTCAGTTTCAGCTGTATATAACAGATGTTACACCACGATTCTGAAAAACAATTACATATTACGAAAATTGTGCCGGCAATACCTACTCGATGGCCAGCTCGCAGACCCGATTTAACAGCTTTAGATTTATTTTTGTGATAATTCGACGTGATTTAGAAGATTAAAAAAATAGAATTAGGAATGTTTGAAGCTCAAGTAATACGTTCGAAAATATGCTCAAATGACTGTTTTTAAACAGTTTTCTCTAAAAATTGAATTTTGTTATATTTACAATTTTTTGTCGACTGAAAATGAAATAAATATCTATGATTATTTTAATACATCAAAATCACTCGAAAAAGAAATACATCATATTTGCAATGTAAATTAAGCTTCCCCTTCAAACTCAAAACCACGCCGTTTACAGAATTTCAATTTTTCTATCCCTTTTATAAGGTATAAGGCCATTGAATTTTATCTGGGAGTCTAATTCCTTCACAGCGGTACAACTGAATCGACATTATGTATGTGATCAAAAAGAAAAATGAAAAAATATTTGCTTCATAATAGGCATAAAATTGTTTTATTTTTATTTCTTTTGAAAAATTTTAAAAAATCCGAATTTCACACCGAATTTTCCGAAAATATTGCTCCGTTACCATAAACATGCCATATTTTTGGAATCACCACGTCGGGATATATCTCTATTTTTTCAAAATAAAACGGATAAAAATATTGACATTCTGTAAACGCCATTATTTTTAGCCTAAAGGGTGAAACTTAATTTAGTATATTGTAGAGATGTACCGACTGTAGGTCTGGCCGACTAGCCGACTAGCCGATTGTTCGGCCAGTAAAAGCCGACTAGTCGGCCGACTGTTCGGCTTTGCTAAAACCGGTTTATAAATGCGACAGACAGTATGTTTTTTTTTTCTATTTCTCTGACTACCTTAAAAATTTGTTTTATTTTGTGGGTATTGTTGGTGATTTAAAAGCGACGGTACGGTTTTCAGATTTTATTTCGTTCTTTACTGTTCGAGAGTGCCAGGGAGAAGAAGGAAGGGTGTTTAAAATGGTACACAGGTAAGCTCGGTTTCGAAGAGGTGGAAGTAGGTAAAGAAGGAGTTTACAAAATTCTAGAAGGGAAAAGAGAAAGTATGTAGGAGCGTAGGGCAGGTAGCCGAAAGATCGGAAGTATTTACATTTATACAATTATTATGAATGCGCTCAGGTTGAACACCTGATTTTGTGGGAACTGTTGTTCATACAATTTTAATAACAGGAATAACTAAAGTTCCTTTGTTTTCCAAAAAATGTATTAAATTTGTTTCGATAATTTTAACATTTAATTTTTTTTAGTAACTCACTACAAAAATAAAGAATAACACAATTTAGGGCCAGTTTATACAATATTTTAACTGCGATTAAGTTGATCGCGCATTTAACAAGGCCATTAGTGACGTCTGATTGGCGTAGAGTCGGTCACATGATACTTTAAGGCGGGGTTAAAAATTAAATCGCAATTAAATATTCAATTGAGGTTCTGTAAACCTGGTTTAATTGTTTTATATACTATTTTAATTCTAATAAAAAAAGCCGACCGGTCGGCTGTTTAGCCGACTAGTCGCCGACTGTAGCCGACGATGAAAAATGGCCGAATAGTCGGCTTATCCGACCGGTCGGCCACTAGTCGGTATAGTGAACCAAGAGGTATAAGGTTATATGGCCATCATAAAATTAGTTGACCGCAAATAAATACCCCCTTTGTGTGGTTCGCACTAAGCTTACCGGTTGGCAATAAATCATCTTCTAAACATTTCTTGCTCATATTTAACAGGGCCGGCTTTCAAAGCGAGTGGTTATTTCGGAACCCTCAGCGGCTGCAGGTAGCAAAGAAATAGTGGAGTGGTCGATTTTCATATTTAGTGAAAGCCGCCCCTGAACGAAACCGCAAGAGCCGGTCGAGCTGTAGTGGACTCGTTATTTACGACCCTAAAACCTTTTCTATTGTAAACAACTTAAGTTCGACACAATGGGATGATTTTATGATGGCCATATAACCTTATAGCTCTTGGTTCACTATACATCCCTAGTATATTGCAAATACTTTTTAGGTTTATAATTTTAGGTCACATCAATTTCTGAAAAACATTTATTATGATTATGAAAATTAGCCGGCAATACATAGAGGCTCTCAATGGCCAGCTCGCAACCCCGATCTAATGCCATTAAATTTATTTTTGTGGCGATTTGACGTATGGGCAACTCTTGTGTGATTACAAGATTAAAAAAAATAGAATTAGGAATAATTGAACTTCTTGGACAAGTAATACGTTCGAAAAGTGGAATTTTTTTAATAGTCCCCCTTTCTTCAAATTTCGCAAAAATTTTTACATTTTCGAAACTCGACTATAGATATTTACATAAAAGTCAGGAAAATGTCTCATTACTGAAGAGGAGCTATGTTGAAATACGGGGCACTTTGTGCCGAGTATTTTAAAGCTCCGAGTCAAATAAGACATTTTACTGACGAGTTTTGTATTAAATTTTTCCGGAAATCGCAATAAATCGCTAAAAATCGAGATTTTCCAACAAGTTTTTTAATTAGTTGCGCAAAAATCTAGTTTGTCAATTTCTTGAAAACGATGGTTACAAACAAAACAATTATAAAATTTTGTGCGTACGTCAGAGCTGTGTGTTTATTTCATTAATTAATTATGAATACAAGCGAAAACACTGGTGAGGATGTTCCTTTTGACCTAAGCAAAGCAGCCGCTGCTGCTACAGAAGAATTGTTACCGTCGAAATCTAAGGAGCGGTATGAAAAGCAGTTCCAAATCTTTGAAGATTGGCGCAGGCTTAAAAATGTTACTTCGCTAACGGAAGACGTATTTCTGGCTTATTTTGCGGAAAAATCAAGTTCTTATAAGGCTTCAAGCCTCTGGAGCACTTACTCTATGTTGAAAGCCGTGCTTTTGTTGAAGGAAAATTTGGATATCAGCAAGTTTTGTAAGGTAACTGCTTACCTAAAACGAAAATCGACTGGTTACCAACCAAAAAAATCGAAATGTTTGTCTCGGGACCAGATAGAGAAATTTCTGCTTGAAGCTCCCGACAAGGAATTTTTATTAATGAAAGTAAGTTATTACAATGATTACATATTTAAGTTTTATTAAATTTGGTAATTTCAGGTGGCGCTTATTTTTGGGGTGTCTGGAGCCTGTCGATGCGACGAATTATCAAGGATGTTAGTTGACGACATTGAAGATCAAAATAACGTGCTAATAGTACACATTCCTGATTCTAAAACAAAAAAACCTCGACGCTTTGTAGTTGTTGATGAAAGAAATCTTGCTACATACAGACGTTATTTGGAATTACGTCCGCCTAGTACTCCACACAAGCGCTTATTTTTAAATTACAAGAAAGGGAAATGTACGGTCCAACCAGTGGGCTTGCATTCATTTGGTAAATTTCCTTCTCAAATTGCTACCTACCTTGGTCTACCAACACCTCTGGAATACACAGCAGGACATTGTATGCGGCGCAGTTCCGCGACTTTACTAGTAGACGCAGGAGGAGATATTACCAACTTAAAAAGGCATGGAGGATGGCAAAGCAGTTCAGTAGCAGAAGGATACATAGAAGAGTCCATCGAAAATAAATTAGATATATGTAGCTAATAAAATACAAGCTGGTCCGAAAAAAAGACCCTTCACTAATATCGAGACGTGTCCCTCTACAAGTAGTGATTCATCTGAAATCTGTTGCACCGAAATCTCGACTGAAATTTTTGATAAAAAGGTTAAACTTGATCATAAATCTCTGTCTGGAATTAACATTGCAAATATATCGAATTCTACAATTAATGTTAATATCTGTAAATAGTGTAATTTACGAAATTTTGAATAAATTTTTCTTGTTTAAATAACTAATTATTTTGCGTCATTTTTGTAGTTTTTACAGTACTAGTCAGGGAAATCCAATTTTCCTGCGCCTAATGTCGCAAGGAAATGCTGTTTCAAACACGATTTCCGGAAAAATACATTTCCTTGTAGATTTCGAGCTCTAGAACTCAAATCCGGCCTCGATTTTTTGATACCTGCAACCGTTTTTCTATAATCGACCGTTGGAATATCGAAATTTTTGAAATTTTCAAAAATTCGCATTTCGCAGCGATTTTTTCGAAAATGTTGCTTCGTGACCATCAACATGCTATATTTTTGGAATCAGCGTGCCGAGATCTACGTCCCTGAATTTTTTCAGAATTTTTAGACAACTTTTTTAAAAGTGAAATTTTTCCATTTTCGGTTTCTCAGTTTTCAATTTTTCGATTTATCGATTTTTGATCTTGCGATTTTCAGTTTCGCAGCGTTCTTTTTCAATTTTTCGACTTTTGGATTTTCCAATTTTCCAAGTTACATAGGTTTTTCGATTTGTCGATTTTCCAATTTTTCGTTTTTTCTACTTTTCGATTTTTCGATCTCGGTTTATTTTTAAAATTTTCACATTTTGTATGTTCCATTCTGCTCTTTTTAATGGTCTTCAAATTTTGCAAAAATTTTGACAGTTTTCGAAACTCAACTAAAAACAATGACCTACTCTTCTACGCAAAGGTACTAGCCCCGCCCACCCACCCTTTATTTTCTTAGAAGAGTAGGTCATCTGCCAAAATCAATCTTATCTTGGCAAGTATGACACTGATTTTTGCAAATGACATATACTTTAAGAAAATAAAGGTGGGTGGGCGGGGCTAGTACTTGTCAAGATAAGAGTGATTTTGGCAGATGACCCACTCTTCTAAGAAAATAAAGGGTGGGTGGGCGGGGCTAGTACTCGTCAAGATAAAACTGATTTTGGCAGATGACCCACTCTTCTAAGAAAATAAAGGGTGGGTGGGCGGGGCTAGTACTAGTCAAGATGAGACTGATTTTGGCAAATGACATATTCTTCTAAGAAAATAAAGGCTGGGTGGGTGGGGTTAGCACTTGCTAAAAACAAAAAAAAATCAAAATCAAAAAATGACAAATTGAAAAATCGGATAAATGAGAAATCGGAAAATTGTACAACTGTATAATCGGAAAATCAAAAACTGAAATATCGACAAATTGAAAAAAAAAACAAATCTTATAAAATGGAATTCGAAATTTCAGTTTTCATTTTTTTTTAGTTTTTAGATTTTTCAACTTTTGAATAAGCATTTCATTTGATAATTTGTTTGACGATTTTGCAGTTTTTAATTCCAATCTTTTGATTTTTCAAGTTTTAACTTTACAATTTTTGAATTTTTTTATTTTTAATGTTTCAAGTTCTCAAGTTAAAACTTTTCCTTTTCACGTTTTGTCATTTTTCGATTTTTTAACTAAAAGAACAAATTTATTCGAACCGAAATTTTGAAAAATCGAAAAATCCAAAAATTGAAAATTAGAAACAAAATTTTCAGATGTTTTAAAGTTACGGTAAACATGGCAAATCGCTGATCAAAATTACGTTTTACTCCCTTCCAAAAACTCGGTGACAAAAAATCAAAAATCGAAAATTTTAAAAATAAACATCTATTTTCTCGATAATTTTAAAAATCAAGTAATTGAGAAATCGGAAAATTGCCAAAATTGTAAAATTAAAAAATCGAAAGTTTTTTTCAGTGGCCCAGAGAAATCAAAAATCGAAAAACAGATAAAAAAATTGAGAATTTAAAAAGCGAGAAATTGAAATGTATTAAAGTTCGCATCGGCACAATTCACACAATCTTGCCGAAAATACTCAAATTTCGTTAAAAATATTTCAGAAACTAAAACAGAATAAAACCTTGTATGTACCACGGGCATAATTGTCGATTGTGGCCCTAGGGAAATTAAACGCCTTTCTTCGTCAGGCTTTAAACATTCCCTCGTGACATAATCTCCCTAATTATGCTCTTAATACATAAATAACTATTAAATTAAAAATATGGCACTCAGAATTTAGAAATATTCTATATCCCATACAATCAAAATTACGGTTTTAGTCGTTTATAAAGTACGGCGTTCAAATTGTTATTCTATGACATCCTGTATAAACCTGGAAATCGATACATTACGCAGTTTTTTTGAGTTTGTTGCATAAAGTGACATTTTGTTCGGGATTTTTCTGCCTTCAATAATCCACTAGTGGAATAAAGTCTAGATAAAAATTACTTCGAAAAAGTTAATCTGTTTCATAATGTTGTTTTTTTGGTAAAAAAAAATAATTCTATTAGATTTTCTTAGATTCTGTAAATATAAAGATTTTTTCGATTTTAATTATGACCTTACTCTCCGAAAACATATACTTTCATGCACATAATCGAATGGGTAGCAGTCCATTTTTCAGAAATGAGAATTAGAATGTTAAAGTATTTAACAAAATCCACAAAAATAATAATAAAATGTCTGGGGGATTATCTGCTTACTGTCACTTACTTGTCCTTAAAAGTCCTTTTAGCTGGAAATATTTATTTAAAACTTTTAAGAAATAAAGTAGTCCCTGATGTGCTTTTTCAAAATATGGTTTCAACAAGATGGTCCGTCACCTCATTCTTGATGTTACACCAGATTATGATTTTAGATCACATCAAATCCTGAAAAACATTTATTATGATTATGAAAATTATGCCGGCAATACTTAGAGGCTCTCGTGGCCAGCTTACAACCCAGATTTAACGCAATTAAATTTATTTTTGTGGCGATTTGACTTATGTGCACCTCTTGTGTGATTACAAGATTTAAAAAAAAATTGAATTAGGAATAATTGAACCTCTTGGACAAGTAATACGGTCGAAAAGTGGTAGTACATTAGTTCACATAACTTAATTTTTTTTATATTCGGCGGATTCATAAACCACAAGTGTAGGAGTATAAAGTTTAAACAACATATACTATGTACACTGTGCGGTGACGTCATTACATTGTGGTGGGTACCTATAAAATTTAACCCCAAAAAATCCAGCCGTAAAAATGTACTCAGACGACAGACAAACGGAAATGGGGAACCTAGTTTTTCATACTCTAGGACCCTTTTACTTAGCTTACGCTCGGGAAACAAAATTAAGTCGTTATTTTACGCTGTCTATAAATAGAGCGTATTAAAATTTATCATTTTTTAATTACGCTTTAATTTAAATGAAGTATTTAAAATTATTTTCAGTCCCGTTCACCCAGCACAAAATAAAAAATTAACAAAGCCATATAAACACTTTCGTGGCAACTTACTCCAGTGTTTGTAGTTCGCTAATAAAAGTAAAAAGTTCAAACACATAAAAATAAAAATGGAACTTTACGTTTACGTGAACATTAATTTTGACAATAAAATCCACGTTTATAGGTGTTTGTGAGTGATCCGTTAATTAGCCCGCATTTTTCGCGTGCTTGTGCATTCAGCGACTTTTCGATCCGACGAATCTCGGAAAACGCGTTCGGCCATCTTCTCAGGCTGGATGTTAACATTTCGCCTTGTTTACATTCGAAGACAGCATTTTTACGCCTTAATTTATAAATATTTGCTCTTCTTGTATACAAGCCATAATGAAGTATAAAGCATAATGTAATTAGTAGAAATTTACGTTATGAATCGTCCGTCTCTGTTTTCGGTGACGTAAATAACGTCAGCGATTGTGAGCAGCGTGTAGACGCTTTCCCCACATCCACAGCCCATTTGAATGGGGCCTTTGTATCCTATTCCACCCATTCTCCCGATTTCGTATGAAACCTACGGTTTATCCCGATCAATTAACTAGAAAATAATTATTGAATAAATCGACTTCATTCATCGCGGCTCATGAATGGGCGCTTTTTTTCTCTTTTCACATAATTAGTGGCCTTTGCTGGTCCGACTGAAATACGACCGGATTCGCACCGGTCCGGCCCATTGGGGTAATTTGAAATTCGAACCCTTGGCGCCAGTTCACAAAAAAAAAGTGGGTTTTGGGGAGTTAACAGTCATTTTTCATTTTATTTTCGTAGTAACTCATATTAAACTTTATAACACAACATATTCCTATATTTGTGGTTTATGAGTCTACCTTGAGTTTTTATCACAATTACTTTCCAATCACCCCTATATCGAACTTCACAACCTTCCCAGCACTTTTTAACAACCCACTTCGTCGCTTCCGCCCCATAAACGAAAATACCTTACAAACGACTTAACCACAATTTACTTTATTTTTAAAAATAACTCTAATCCGGTCCTCTCCTCATAAAACCGTCATTGTTTTGACCAGGTACAACTTTATAGCGCCAATTTTCGCACGCTCTAAAATATTCAAAGCGGTTTCTGCAGTACCTGGTACCAAACGAGTGCCAAATGTTGAAATCGATTGTCGGCATGCCTGATAATAAAACCATGAATGAATTACAGGTAAGGACTCGTCCAGATGGTGCACTTCAGGGTAATTGCATTATTTTTACTACGTGCCGTGGCAAAAATTTCAAGCGGATTTACCGTAAAGGTGTTTAGCATGTGCTTCCTAGTTTTCCAGCACCTGGTGCTGTCCTGGAAACGCTGTAATAAAACGAAGATTGTGTCGGCGCCCCCTCGGGCTAACCCTCACGATGGGGGGTAAATCGACTCATCACGAGCACGAAAAGGGTATAAATACCCATCAGAAGCAAATTTAAATCCGCAACTTTCTTTATTTTTGCGCTCAGCCAGAATTGATGTTTTC